CACCGGAGGTCCATTAATTTTGGAGGATGTGTCATATAGGTCCATCAACTCTTAAACTATATTTTTTAGTCTTTAAACTTTTTAAGTGACCCACTACAAGTGCATACGCCTTCGTTTATGCAGAAACCTCACTCCATTTCTTTTTCTTTCACATGCTTACCCCTCTTGTCTTCTCAGCACACAGGGCTGGCTGGAGAGCGCACCGAGCTTGCACGGCGGCATGCAGTGCGAGCAAGCGGGACAGGAATATGTGTAACGCAGTACGCAGCGCAGCCTCTCCTGATCTCCTCTTCCAAAATCTGAACAGGGTTCACGACTCCCCCGGCACCCCTGCCCTGAAACCGACGGGGAGAGGCCGCGACGAAAGCTGGCACGCACGCGACGCGGAGGATGGGTGGCAACCGGGCAAGCAGAGCAGAAGCAGACGCAACAAGCAACAAGTCGCAGGGGCTGGCCGGGCAGGCGACCAAAGATAAGAAGAAGCCACGGCCCGTCAAACGGGGAAGAGGGCCCGGTGAGCTCGGCCAGAAATTCCACGAGCCCTTCCAACGCGCGCCTTTGTATTCTACGTGGTACATGCAGCGTCCGGCGCCACCGGCCGCTATCGGCGGAGGACCTCTTCGCCGCCCGCCGCCGCGCCGTGTGGTGTGGTGTGTGTTAGGCCACCCGGGATCGCGACTGCCGCGTTCGGATGCGCGGCCTTCGTTCGTGCATAGCTACCGTTAGATTTAGTCCCAGATCGGTAATCGATGGCTACAACTAGTACGTACATGCTATAAATAAAACTTGAGAGAGATGGCTGCGCTACGTATAATAGACGACGTCCTAGTGGTGGAAACTTGGAAAATCCAATCCATCGACCGGAGACTTTGCTGAATGGCTATTATCGTGTGACCTGCCCAACTGGATACTGCCCTGCTGGCCGCCTTGGAACGGCCTGCATTGCCCGACGTCGGCGTGCCCTTCTCCTAGCTATAAATAGGGCCCCGATTCCTCGGTGAACTGCATGCAGAGTGCAGTGCAGTGCAGTGCAGCATCGTTTACAGTTACCTGTTTGTAACTGCTGCAAACGTAGGAGTACAAGTGATCCTGATCCTGATCCTTCCAAGATGGCGAAGCAGGGTGTGGCTTCCATGCTTGCACTGGCATTGCTTCTCGGAGCATTTGCAACCATTCCTACAGGTACACAGTACTACGCGACCCATGTGCTGTCAAACTCTTAGGTTCATGTGTAGCTATCCATACCATACGTACACGGTCACCATATTTCCTGGCGCACAAACGTACGTACGTAATGTACTCAGTGCAATGCTAATAATCGATGATCTGCATGGTTGACAGGAGTCCACGCCATCGGCGTGTGCTACGGCGTGAACGGCGACAACCTGCCGTCGGCGAGCGACGTGGTGCAACTCTACCGGTCCAACGGCATCAACCAGATGCGCATCTACTTCCCGGACACCAACGCTCTCAACGCGCTGAGCGGCAGCAACATCGGGGTGATCATGGACGTGCCCAACTCGGCCCTCTCCTCGCTGGCCTCCGACCCGAGCGCGGCGGCCACGTGGGTGCAGAGCAACGTGCAGGCGTTCCCGGGGGTCAACTTCAAGTACATCGCCGTGGGCAACGAGGTCTCCGGCGGGGACACCAACAGCATCCTCCCCGCCATGAAGAACGTCAACTCCGCGCTGGCCAACGCCGGGCTGGGGAACATCAAGGTGTCCACGGCGGTGCAGAGCGGCGTCACGCAGGGGTTCCCGCCGTCGCAGGGCAGCTTCTCGCAGGGGTACATGGGACCCATCGCGCAGTACCTGCAGAGCACGGGGGCGCCGCTGCTCTGCAACGTGTACCCGTACTTCTCCTACACGGGCAACGAGGCCCAGATCGACCTCAGCTACGCGCTCTTCACGTCGCCGGGGACCGTCGTGCAGGACGGCGGCAACGCGTACCAGAACCTCTTCGACGCGCTCGTCGACACCTTCGTCTCCGCGCTCGAGAACGCCGGCGCCGGGAACGTCGGCGTCGTCGTTTCCGAGAGCGGGTGGCCGTCGGCTGGCGGCGACGCCGCCACTCCGGGGAACGCGCAGACCTACAATCAGAACCTCATCAACCATGTCGGGCAGGGCACGCCCAAGCGCCCTGGATCCATCGAGACCTACATCTTCGCCATGTTCAACGAGGACCAGAAGCCTGGAGCCGAGACGGAGAGGCACTTCGGACTCTTCAACCCGGACAAATCCCCGGCGTACCCCATCAATTTCTCCTAAAAAACAAGTGGGACGCACTCGCGGGTCCATATATACACGATCTATCGAACAAGACATATATAATTTAATAACGAGATATATAGATATACACATATATACCCTATACTACATACGAAAACATTGAATAAACTGCCTGTAAAATGCAAAGTGCATCCATGTAAGGCAAGTGCTTCGATTATTTCGTAAAGATGAATAACAAGACGTACATTCTTGGTTTATTTCTTCTTTGCCCATGTAAGTGCAACGATTGGAGTCCTAAATATACAATTTTCTGATAGTTATATATATGGTTTCTTTTTTTTTTTTTGAAAGGCCAATATACAATTTTCTGATAGTTATATATATGGTTTCTTTTTTATTTTTTTTAAAGACCCAGTTGCCCGGCATTTCATTAATAAGAAGGATAGAGAATAGTCATCAGTTTTACACGAGCGAGTGGCGCAGCCTAGTGCAGAAGCTCTGCACAGGCTCAAGGGAAATGGGGGTTAATTACTCCCAAAATTTGGAACAACCCAGAGGGGGATAAGACTTTCGTCTTTGACATTATGCATCGATCATTATTGAATAGGAGTATATCATTAGAATCAATCTAAAATTAGATTCAAAATTAGATACATATCATCTTGCAAATTGAGAGAGTGTTAGTATGTTAAAAGATGTTGGAGGGCTCGGGATCCCAAATTTGAGAGATTTAAATCTCAATCTGTTAGCCTTGTGGATTAGAAGATACGATCTATATGGTCACAAGTTATGGAGACGGACAACTCGACTCTTGGGGGGCTTCATTGTTTTTTAAAGGCTTGCTGTGGGCAGCCTCTGCTACGAAAATGGGACTTAGATGGAAAATAGGTAACGACAAGAAGATTAAGTTTTGGGAGGATAACTGGTTAAGAACCTCTCCTTTAGCCATACAGTGTTGGGTAATTTATATTCTGGTCAATGGAAAGTCGAAAACGATGGCTAATCTTTGGGATGAACAAATCTTAAATGCACCTTTAGAAAACATGTTGATGAACCTTTGGTTAGAAGTAGTTTAATTAGCTTCTATAGTTTGTTTGTCTGACGAAGAGACTGCTTAATTTGGCAGCTTAATTCTAATGGTGTATGTTCCTCTCAATCCCTCTATAAAGTGATTAATTTCATAGGGGTGTTACCTGTACATGTTCCGGCGGTTTGGAGTCTTAAGATACCTCCTAGAGCTCATTTTTTCTTATGGCTAATTTCTAAAAATAAACTGTTGACGAAGGACAACCTTAGTGTAAGAAAAAAGTAGAGGATCATTCTCGCTTATTTTGCAGTGAACCTGAATAGGTTTTTAACCTCTTCTTTGACTGTGTTGTAGCTAAGCAGTTGTGGTGCTGTCTCTCTGAAACTCTAGATAAAAGTTTAGGTGCTGATTTTCTTTCAGTGGGACAACAGTTGTGTTTAAGTAACAAAAGGTTTTTAGTACGCAAAATATGTCTTGTGCTGCTGCCCCTTGCAAGTTCAGAAACAGTCTTTGCTTTGAGGGAACTCTTTGGAAAAATGTGCAATCCCTTCTCCTAAAGATAACAGTCATGCTCCAGGGCTCTGGAGTATACTCTGCCCACTGAAAAAAAAAATCCTGAAATTCAATACAAGGCTGTAGAAGCTGAAACATTTAGCCATCAGACCTCCAGGGCTAAATGGCTAAACCAAGTGGTTGATAAAGGGGAGAAGTTCCCGTATCATAGTGCAACTGATTGGGAGTTGACAGATGTCCTGGTTGGAGCCAAAAGTCACTTGGTGGAGTTCTCGCCTACGGGGAGGTGTTTCAAGAGGGGAAATGGATTAGTTTTCTGAAGTTGGGATCGGAATGCCAACGGATGCAAGACCGGCTGGTCAAGCACTCCGGGTGGCACCCTCGTGGTCTGGGTTCGATCCCCCACGGGGTGCCGGAGGTAAAAAAAAATCTCTCGTCTATCCCGTGTTATCCAAAACTTAGGTTTGCGGCACTGGTCCACTCACACGGTAACAGGCCCCTGCGTGCGGGCGGGGTACGAGGTTTGGGGGTTTTCTCGAACTGGGAGGTTTGGGGGTTTTATCGAACTGGGTGAGAAATCCCCCCCCCCCCACACACACACACAGTGCGAGTTTTAAAGTTGGGATTGGAATGGGGCATGCAATTGATCTTGAGTGCAATGTGGTGTTCTAGGGATCTTTGTAGCTGTGTGCTTTGTGGACTTATTGGGAAGGTGTTATCCACCTGGATGTTGTAAACCTTTTGGTCCTTGTTAATGCAAGGACCAGTGCTTTGCTATAGAACTCTAAAAATTAGATACATATACATACACTACAAACATATACATATATCATCAAGAACGCAATGCAACGAGGTCATGGATCATCCTGCCAAAACATACAACCGGCACTGCAGGTTGCAGGACTGCAGAGTATACGGATGCGATGTATTAATTGCCTGTAAATCAGAACCAACACCTGTGTATTCTGCGCTTGCTTCATCTAGCAATATATAGGTCCAACTGTACGTGTGACCGCACGCACATTTAAAAAAAATGAAAAATACTAGACTGCAGCTTTGGCTAACTATATATAATAACATTCGTGCAGTTCTTTGCCGATCAGACTTTGGCATTTGCGAGCATATATATTTCCAAGAAGTTGTTCCAAAAATATTTCCAAGAAGAGAGTCAATCGCCAAACTAATTAAACTCTCTCTGAAGTCTGAACGAACATGGAGAAGAGAACGTCTGATTACACTCGTCTTCTCGGCCTGTTCCTGGTGCGTGGACCAACAACAGCGGGCTCCTTCTCCTCCACCGGTACTGGCGGCAGCTCCTCCTCCTCCCCGTCGTCGTACACAATAATGTCGCCGTCGTCGTCTTCCTCACCGGCGCCGTCCTCGTCGGACGCCTCGTTCTCTTCCAGTATCGCTCGGTTTATCTCCATCTGCGCATGCACGGGCAGCTAAAGATGAGCAACGGGCCGGCACGGCACGGCACGGCCCGATCGGGCTCGGGCCCTTTTGGCCCGCCGGGCCACCGGGCCGTGCCTGAACAGTCCACCGTGCCTGTCGGACGGCCCAGGCACGGTCCGTGGGCCGAATATCGGGCTGTGCCAGCCCATTGAGCCCGCAGCCCACTGGTCCATCGGGCCAGCCCATAGCCCGTTACACAGTAAACACCATATTTAACAGCAGAATCACAGGTTCACATATTCATATTTAACAATCACAGAAACACCAGATGACAAAAGATTTGAGCTTTTTATACAATGCCGCCTCATTAAAAACCATTCTAGGTAAAACTCACACCTCGTGAGATAAAACCCTAGAAAGGAAAATAGTACGACCAGCTCAATAAATTAAAACGGGCCTCCACCGGGCCGACCGTTGTAAAACGGACCGTGCCGTGCCGCCCGGCGGGCCGAGGCCTCAGCCCAAGCCCGACCTGCTACGGGCTTCGGGCCGGCACGGGCCCGGTTAGGGTTCGGGCCGTGCCGTGCTCGGGTCGGGCCCAATAACCGTGCTTTGGGCCGGGCCTTTGGCCCACGGGCTGCATGCACATCTTTACGGGCAGCCGTTTGGCCAAGTGTTAATTAACACTGTATGTATGTCTCTTGAGTTAACACATGCTCTCCCGTATATGCAGGTACAATTTTATTCGCAGGTACAACTATAACTACAATCAGACGCGCATGGTGCTTGGCTGCTTGCTAACAGTTTTACTTCTAGACGAAAATCATCACCAGAATCTCACTTGCGAGGTGCAAATAATAATGATAATAGTAACGCAATCCGTTACTGACGCGCAGTTACTGGGTGACAGGACGAATTGAAGCAAATTAACGAGGAATGAAGCTAACAACTGATTAGTAGAGTTCGCAGCAGCTGCTAGCAGTAACAGAAGCGCGTGGTAGTGGTAGTCGTATCGTATTCGTACCTCCCTTAGGAATCGGTCGTCGAGGTCGTCGGCGACGCGGGCGGCGGTGACGAGCGTGCCGACGAAGAGGAAGAGCGGGGGCACGAAGGCGAGGATGAGTTGGTTGGTGCTGGGCGGCCCGCCGGCCCGCACCACCATGAGGCGTCCGCGGCGTTGTGTGCGTTGAAGCAGCTGAGGCGTTGCTTGCCCGCGTCAAATCTAAAGACAAGAAGAACCGCAGGAGCTCAACCTCAATGACAGCTTACATGTCACTTCGATTAATTCTGGCAGTCCATTTTTGATCCTATCGACAGATGTTGCTTGAATCCGCTTTTGTCCGGAGCTTCTTCTTATAGCTTCTGTTGCTTCCCCTTCTGCTCAACACCAAATATATATCCAGCTTCTGATTCACAGCACATACTCCTCTCTCTCGTGCCCGCCTCTCCTCCAGTCCTCCCTCTCCCTATCTATGGCTAGGGTGGGCCCCGTCGTGCGCGTCCCGGTGGGGGCGGCGGCATGGCAGGCCCCCGGCGTGGTGGCTCGGCACCCCCCGCCCCCCGACGCAGCAACCCTGGCACGGGCGGGGCCGACGCGGCGGCTGCCAGCGCAAGGCGAGCGTGCCTGCCTCTCCCACCTCCCTCCTCCTCTCTCGTTGCTCCGGGCGCGGTGCGAGGGTGCTCCCCAGGGTATGTCAACCTTTGTTGGGGTCGATCCGAGGCCTCCACGACCGGATCCAGGGCCTCCATGGACGGATCCGTTCATCCCCCGGATCTGGCCTAAAGGCGTCCTCTCGCAGCGTCCGACGTCGAGGGATGCGGCATGGGGGCGTCCTGCTGATGTGTGCTTGGTACATGGTGTTTATAGACTGCAGTTGCATTTACAGAATTTACGTGTGTCCTTAGGAGCCACCGTTACTGATTTTTAGGTCACCGTGCGGAAGGGGTTATTAGTTGCTGCTTGTTGGGTTTTGAAGCTATTGCTGCCCTCCCTTCTGTGCATATGCAGCAGTAGCACATTGCCAATGTAAGTTGTCTTCATCTTGCATACGTCCGTGTCGGTGTTTTCGGACCACCGACGAGTAAATTTGTATTTCGCGTCTGGCTTAGATGGTGTGCTCGGAGGACACAAGGGTTTATACTGGTTTGGGAGGAACGTCCCTACGTCCAGTTCGTTGCTGCTCACGTTACCAGCACTTGGTTTGCAGTAGGGGTTACAAACAGGCAAGAGAGGGAGAGGATCCCAGGTCTCTGTTGGAAGGAGTGAACGGGTGCTGAGAGCTCGCTTGACGCTTAGCCGTGTGCTCGTGTCGTGCTCTTGTGTTGAGATTCCATGTTCCGATGTTTTTTCCCCTTCCTCCATGGGGCGCCCTGCTTCCCCTTTTATAGACGAAGGGAAAACGTGGGTTACAGAGGAGGAAAAGTAGAAGAACGAGAAAGAGAAGAAGGTTTCCAGGGTTGCTGGGTCCTTCTTCTTCTTCATGCGGGTCCCGCTGACCCTGTAGATGTCAACAGGGACGGCTCTATGTCGTGGTCCTGTTCGTCACTGGCGCCTTGCACAGGCGTCATCTGTCGGTCATGACGTTCCACTCCGTCCCGGCGGACATCGTGGTGAACTGACGCGCCTGTCAGCGTCCGTACGAGAATTAGACAGGACAGTACCGGCACGTCCGACACTGTTCTTGATGTGAATCCCCAGGTATGGCCCGTTGTAAGGAAAATAGACCCTAGGCCCATTTACTTTGGATTTTGGTGTTTGATGACCAACACAACCAAAGTTGGACTAATGAATTTGCAAGTGTTTGTTTTGTAGTTTAATAGGGTACAAGATGTGACTTGGACGAAGGCGACGTGATGATCTGATGATCAACACCATAAGCAAGACCCTAGAAGCACAAGACAAGACCCAAGATATCAAGCAAAGTTCAAGTACGAAGATAGGAACCAAGCCGAACGCAAGATCACAAAGAAACGAGCTCACAGAGGTGATCGGACGCTCCGATCAAGAGGCTCGGCAACAGGCGTCAGCAGCAGCGACCGGACGCTGGTGGCTAATCGACCGGACGGAGGACAACAGAGTCTGGTCGAGTACAGAGAGGTTCTAGAGCGGTGAAACTGTGATCGGACGCTGGCAGCGTCCGATCAGTTGATCGTGGCTCCAACGGTCGGAACGATCGGACACGTCCGATACGGATGACCTGAGTGTCCGGTCAGTAGCAGAAAAGTGGGACTTCGTCCCCAATGGCTACTTTCTCAGTGGAGCTTATAAATACAACCCCCAACCGGCCAAATAAGATGTGTGGAGCTGAGGAAACATAACAAGGATGTTGATACACCATTTTAGTGATCTCCACTTGTATAGTGCTTAGTGTTTTATTAGGTGATTAGCGTAGGTGCTTTGCGAAGTGCTTAGATTGATGAGACCACCGCTTATACGCTTGCTCTAGGTTTAGGCCTAGTGTTTAGTGAGATTTGCATATCTCTTACCACTCGGTGCTTGCACGCACCATTGTTGTACATCGGATGGGCTTATAGTCTTGCGAGATCACACCAACAGTGTTTGTGGTGTGGCCGCCACCGTGTACCGGAGGGAACAAGGCCCGCGACATTTCAGCCAGAAGCTTGATAGTGAAGACAGCGGGGAGCCTCCGGGAGAGGCTTACCGAAAGGCACGTCGAAGACCCACTTGCGCGTGGGAAAGGCCCGAGGCTATCCATGAAGTTACCCGACCGGGAGCTTAGCCCTTGTGAGGGATTCCTTGCGAGGGGCTCCAACGAGGACTAGGAGAAAGCTTGCTTGCTTCTCGATACCTCGGTAAAAATACCGGAGTCATCGACGGGAGTTTGCATATCTCTACCTTACTTTTTAGCTTCCGCATTTATATTGATCGTATTACTCCTTTTGCGGTAGAGATAGCAATATATTAGCAAAACTGTAGTTGCACATTTAGATAGTTTATCTTTTGCATAGGTTTTGCTAAGGTTCGAAGAAGAGACCATAGTTTAGAGTTAGAATTTTAAGTTACCTAATTCACCCCCCTCCTCTTAGGTGTCACGGTCCCCTTCAATTGGTATTGGAGCCGGTTGGCTCAATCTGGACCTTTGGCTTAACCGCCATTGAGCCGACGCTATTTAGAGTGGTTGGGATGGATACCTCTTGGCATCCGCACTTTGACGGCACTAACTTCCCTTATTATAAAGCTAGAATGGCTTGCCACCTTGAGGCGGTTGATTTGGGTGTTTGGAGAGTCACTCGTGACGGGATAAAATTCATTAAGAATCCCGATAAACCCACAAAGAGTGATGAAAAAGAAATGCATTTTAATGATAAAGCTAAGAATTGCTTGTTTGAATCATTTAGCATGGATATATTTAACCAAGTGTTCACTTTAAATACGGCACATGAAATTTGGTTAAAACTTCAAGAGCTCCATGACGGCACAAGTAATGTCCGTGAGCAAAAATATTGTCTAGCTAAGCAAAATTATGATTCCTTTACAATGAATGATGATAAGCTTGTTCGTGATATGTATTCTCGTTTGAATCTAATTATCAATGAGCTTCATTCAATAGGATTAACAAAGCTAGATGATGCGAACATCGTCAGGAAGATCATCTCCGTGCTACCACAAAATAAATATACAACCATCATCACCATCCTTCACAACATGGAGAACTTGAGCACCATGACCCTGGGCATAGTCATTGGCAAGATAGTGGTATTTGAAATGTCATGTAAGATAGGTCAAGACGAAGCCTCTTCATCGAGCAAAGGCAAAGTTCTCACATGTAGCGAGAAAAAGAAGATGAAGAGCAAGCAAGTTGAGATAAGCTCAAGCTCAAGCTCCTCAAGTGAAGATGAAGAAGAAGATGAGGACGATGATAAAGACACAAGTGAAGATGATCAATCTTCCTCCTCCACCTCCGACCTTGATGAAGAATCAATCAAACTAATCAACAAGGTGGAGAAGATGATCCAAAGGCTCAATGTCAAGGGTGTGCCCATCCAAATCTAAGATATCATCTTCACTAAT